TTGGTAGCGTGTTTTCATCAGTTTTTGCGAAACTGTTTAGCCTAGTAGCTTCTTGTTTCTAATAGATTCTTGTTGCTACTAGTAAGGCACTTGTTACTAGAAGCGATGCACTTGTTTCTAGTAGCGAACCTCGGAAGCGCTGCCTGTTCGGATTCCGCAGATCTGGTCGAAGCACTTGCCCTTGCCTCGCCTTGCCTTCTTTGAGCTGATTTGGAACCGCTCAGCTAGGTGAATGACCCCAGCCTCGTAGCACATGTGAATCGCAACGCTGGAGCCTTTGGAGCCCCTTTCTTGCAGCAAACGTAGTGGCATGTGACACACTCATTTCTGAGGCGCAGGGCTGGAAAGCAGCTGAAAGTCCTTTCTTCCAGGCGCGTCCTTGCTCCTAGTAGCGATGCCCTTTGCTCCTAGTAGCGTCCTTGTTCCTAGTAGTATGGCCAGGAGCCCCTAGTAGCCTCCTTGCTCCTAGTAGCTACCGCTATTAGGCTGGAGGCCGTCACTAGTAGGTTCCAGTTGCATGTCGATCACTCACGCCGTTCGGAGAGCAACCTCCGAGACCTGGGGCGAGCAAAGTAAGTCCGCGATAAGAAGGTAAGTAGGGAAGTATACTGGTAACTTGTGAGAAGCTAGGAGTCACTAGACGGCGGGTCAGGCTTAGGTTGATGTGTAAAGGGAAACTTAAAGTTATATCATGCCCTTGTTACTAGTAGCGATGCCCTTATTAATAGTAGTAGTGCACCTTGTTACTAGCTTCTATGCCCTTGTACCTAGTAGCTTCTTGTTACTACTAGTAAGGCACTTGTTACTAGAAGCGATGCACTTGTTCCTAGTAGCTTCTATGCCCTTGAACCTTTCAATTTCGGAGGACTGGAGCTTGGGCGATGTGCGGAGATTGAGCGGTGTGAAAGTTTCGAACGCAGGTGGGGAGAAAATGTGACCTCAAATTAGCAGTTGGCCAGGAGCTTCTTGTCCCTAGTAGGAACAAGTGCCTTACTAGTAGTAACAAGAAGCTAGTAGAAACAATAAGCTAATAGCTTCTTGTCCCTAGTAGTATTGTTTCTAATAGCCCCGTTCGTAGCGATGCCCTTTGTTACTAGTAGCTTCTTGTTACTAGTAGCAGTTGGCTGACAGTATTGTTGGCATTGTTGGACCATACCATTGTTGTCTAGAAGTTCGGCGCATCCCAAACCTAGGGCAGGATCAGGACGCGTCGCCAATTCCGAGCCTTGATCCGCCACGCAAACGCGCAAGCCCCACCAAGCCTCGGCACCTTCCGCCAACTCTTCGAAAAACACAGAAAGTTTGCACCATCTTCCAGCGAGATCTCGTTTCTAGTAGCTAGAAGCTACTTGGGGCTCCCGGCATCACTACTAGGAGCAAGGACGCTACGAACGGGGCTGCTGGCCTTACTACTAGGAGCAAGAAGCTACTAGGAACAAGCAGCTAGTAGTAACAAGTGCATCGCTTCTAGTAACAAGTGCCTTACTACTAGTAACAAGAAGCTACTAGGAGCAAGAAGCTGTTGGAGGCCATCGCTATTGGGCGAGATCTCGTTGAGACCATTTTTCCCCAGATCTCCGGGCCATCCATCATCCGCCTACTCGCAGCGCCGCTCCACGGTGCCATTTCTGTTCTAATCAGGTCTCCCCCATGACCTATTGTAAACCTCATCATTCTAACCTACTAGCGATGGCCTCCAACCGACATTAAATCACCAACCGATTCTAAAAGCTTGTTGTTTTGATCAAGCAATTTGATCAAGAAGTGCACACGGCTCTTGGCACGCCAGCCCACTTGAAAAAGAACGTTTTGGACAAAGCTCATGAATTTGCTTGAATGTGCTTTTGCTTGTCGCTATTAGAGAGACCAGGTGTATTGGCAGAGTGCACCTTGCCCGATGTCACAGTGCCGCGATCATTTGATGCTCGAGAGAGGCGTGGCAATTGAGACTCCGCATGAACAGACCTTGGCCTTCTAAGTGACCAGAAGGTCTCAAGCCTATTTGAGGATCGGACATAGAGCGTCAATACCTGTTAAAAGCCTGAAGCGTTTGCCATCTCTAGTAGGTTGGAGGCCATCCCTATTACGTTGGAGGCCATCACTAGTAGGTTAGAGGCCATCGCTAGTAGGTTGGAGGCCATCGAAGGCCTTTGCTAGTAGCTGGAGACCATCACTGTAGGGTGGAGGCCATGCCTATTAGGTTCATCAAGCTTCAATACCTGTCAAAGCCTGAAGCTTTTGCCATGTCGAAGTACAGACCCTCTTGAACCCAAAACTACGTTGGATATCAATGGCTATGATTATCTTGGAGAGTTTTTTTCGGCAGAGGAAGACAGATTGAGAAACAAAGGCCGGCAACAGCTGCAGGTGGCCTCATTGTTTCTCTGGAGTCTACGATATGGGCAATTGCTCCTCGGAAAGCAACATGAAAAAAGATAACCAGAAACTTGATAATTAAACAATAGTTGTCCAATTCACATCAATGAGCTATGAATTAGCTTCTTGTTTACCTGGTTGTTTACCTGGTTGCCAGGTTCGTCTAGCTGGGCCATTGCTGCCAGTGCCTCAAGCAATCTCTGACAGTTGCTGCCCGGCATGCCCGGCTGTTCGAGGCCGTCAGCTCCATGACGGACAGGACAAGCACAGAGACACAGAGACACGGTCGTTTGTGGGTAAAGACTTAAGCAATGGTGAGACACTGTCGTCCTTGCTCCTAGTAGTAGGGCCAGGAGCCCCTAGTAGCGTCCTTGCTCCTAGGAGACACTGTCGTTTGTCAATATGTACCGTGATTGTGTCAATTCGCAAACTGTTGCAGGCTTTGCATTGCCCAGAATGAGAGGTTTCCTTGGCCTTTTAGTCTTCGCATAACGTTGTTCTATGTTGTTCTTGTATCACCTTATGCTTATTCCTTGCTTTCACAATTTTGAGGCTTGAATTGTCAGTGCAACAGCTTCTTTCGCCGCTTGCTTTCAATTTTGGTAAGCTTGTTTGCAATGCTGCTGATTCCCCAGCTTTTTGTCATTCTTCACAAAAGGTACCTTCCTTTAGTAGGTTGGAGATCATCGCTAGTAGGTTGGAGGCCATTGCTATTAGGTGTCTCTTTTCTCTCAATTCAATTCCCGTTTATCTTTTATCTTTCTTTTGAGGTGTGATCAAAAGTTTGGGAAAGGCTGCAATGGAGGTGCTCTGGACATGGTGTGGATGCTCAGATGGGCTCTCAAGGTTTGGCAAGCAACAAAGCTAATAGCTTCCTGACAGCGATGGCCTCCAACCCATTAGGAATGGCCTCCAACCTAGTTGCGATGGCCTCCAACCTACCAACCTAATAGCGATGGCTTCCAACCTACTAGCGATGGCCTCCAACCTACTAGCAATGGCCTCCAACCCAATAGCGATGGCCTCCAACCCAATAGCGATGGCCTCCAACCTAATAGCGATGACCTCCGACCTAATAGCGATGGCCTCCAACCTACTAGCGATGGCCTCCAACATGCTAGGAATGGCCTGCGACCTAGTTGGGATGGCCTCCAACCTAACCTAATAGCGATGGTCGCTTTATGTTTTGTTTGAATGGTTTTAAGCCATGATTGGTATGAACTACCAAAGTTGCTTCATGTGGTTGTGCTGCTTGAGATAAAGCAAGATGTATGTTTCTGGACAAACGTGTAGCAACATGGTGCTTATAGAAATGGCTGCCACTTCTGTTTGCAGCTTGATCGTGCTCTTCCAAAAGTGTTTGCTTGTTTTTCCCTTGTGCTATGTTGTTTATCGTTGTTTGGTTTTCTTGTATTTTCTTTCCAAGGTTTGGAACTATATGAAGGAGGAGGGCTTGGTAAGCCGATCTCTCAACAAGAGACCTTCCCACTGCAGCCAATAGAGGGGTGTGTGTGTGAGGTTCCACGTGCTTTCCTTACAAGGCAATGGCGGCGATGGGGAGTTGTTTTTCTTGATAGAGGGGTGGTAGGCCGTCAGGAGGCTCAAGCAAGCTAACAATCATGGGGTAGCTAAGCTTAAGTAGCTACTACGTTGGGGGCCATCACTAGTAGGGTGGAGGCCATTAAGTATGCTACCTACTAAAGAGGTAGCTAAGCTTAAGTGGTTTCGTTGGCTTGGACGCAGGAAAGCTCAGGCTTCTTCAAGGAAGCTGCCCCCGCCCTCAGGCGGGGAGAGATTCCTTCAAGAAGCGTGAGCTATCCTCCGTCCATGCTAGTAGCTTAAGTAGTGTACTAGTTACCCCTCTCTCACTTGGTTAAGCAGGCGCCTACTTAATTAAGTAGGGAGGAGGGGGAGCGGGCTTAAAAAATTAGATTCTTTGGGAAACTTGGCATTGCTGTTACAGCCGTCCTACATGATCTCAGCAAACCAGGCTGACGCCCTTCCGTGTTCTTTCCAGTGCAACGAGGCAAGCTGAACAGTGGAAGAGATATTGCGGTAAAAGATTTGTTTGACACACATTGTATGAGAACAGAGCCATTCTTCGAAGAGAGAAAAAGAGAGAGAGAGAGAGGGCGCTCCACATGGCACAGATGTGTAAGGGCTGAGTGCTTGAAGATGTAACCAGGCACCAAGAGAGGCCCAAGATTGTGGACATCGGCAAATGGGAGATAACTGCGTTCCGCAGCCGAATCCCTTACTTAACATTGAACAAAGAATTGGTTACTCAAATTCCACTGGAAAAAGTAGGGTTGTTGCAGAACTACACTGCATAAGGCAATCAATCCGTGCCCGGTTCTACTTGTTTCATGTAAACAGGTGGTTTGGCAGGCTGGCTTTTGCTGCATGCCGTTGGTGCGCCCCACCCCGTACTGTACAGGTGGTCGGCGTAGGTCATCGGTCATCACCCAAGGATGTGCAGGCAGCGCCCATAGCTTCGGCAACGCGAGGCCTGAGCACAGTGTTTGCTGCTTGCCACCGGGTCATGTGGCGGTCGTGTCAGCGTGCGGTCTCAGTGCCTGGTGCAGTCGTGAGTGGCTCGTTGAAAACCGATGTTGGCATTGTGTTGCCAGCGTGTCAGGCGGGGTGGACCCATGCCTCGCTAGTAGTAACAAGAAGCTATTAGGAACAAGTGCCTTACCACTAACAATAAGAATTTAATTGACTTTTTGCCTGCCCGGCAATTGTGGCGGTGCCTGTCGAAGAAGGGCAGCCTCCACACCTGCTTGCGGACGGGCTGGATTGTGCTGAAGCACAGAGAAAAAGTCAGCCGATGAGGCAACCAAGCGCCAAGCGTTGTTGGCCATGAGGCATCTGAGGTGCTGGGATCTGGGTTATGGCTGGCTGGCGTGTCAGCTTGGTATCACCGGTTCTTGGACATGTACATGGCCACGGTTAGGTGCACTGCGTGCAAACGATCGCTTGAAAGGGCTTCGTCGGTGAGGCCGTCCGGATGCTGCGCCTGAGATTGCGTAATAAATTGCGTGAACTGCAATTAAGGCCAGGAGCCCAGGCCCTAGTAGCTTCTTGCTCCTAGTAGTAAGGCACCTGCTACTACTAGTAAGGCACTTGTTACTAGAAGCGATGCACTTGTTACTACTAGCGTGGCACTTAGACTCTATTTCTTCCTGTTCTTTTTGGTTTCTAATAGCCATGGCCTCCAACCTACTGGCGATTGAAATATGGCGTAACTTGGCAGGCCCAAGTTTGTTCAAGTTTCAGAGGCGTTCGGGGAGACTTCGCAAGGTGTAGGAACACGTGGACCATGCTGTGGGACTGGCCGACTGGCCCACTGGCGACCGGTTTGTGGTGCTGACGCTTTGGAGGGGGGGCTCCTTGACTGGCAGCTCCCTGCAGCTGCCAAAAGCCGCTTGAGAATGAGCTGGGAGTAATAAGGCAATAAGTTGTTGGGCACAGACAGTGTCATGCAGAGAAGGAGTCTGAAGCCCGCTTGGACGCATTATACGTTACTTTATGTTGTAGCTTCATTACTGCTGCACCCCTGAAAGCTTACATCTCTTGTAAGAAAATGCACACTTACTTATCTAAGTTACACAATATTTCAATCGCTACTAGGGTGGAGGCCATCGCTAGTAGGTTGGAGGCCACTGCTATTGGGGCGGAGGCCATTGCACTTAGGTTGGAGGCCATCGTTATTAGAAACAAAGAAAAAAAAAGGAATAAATTACACCACCGTAGACCCCAAACAGTTTGCGCTTTTCAAACCGAAACTAGAGCTTGCGACGCCCAGAGCTGGGAGACAAAGGATTGCGTACAGAGCGGGCGGACACATCTTAAGAAAGAATTGACAAGCCCCAACAGCAAACCTTTTGGGGAATTATTCTTCAAGTGCGAACATGATGCTGGTCATGCTGCTCAATCAGCGGGGAGCTGACCACGTGAGGACAAGAAATAAAAGCATGAGGAGCGAAGGACGTGACATGAAACTGGTTTTTGGTGCCTGACGTATGCCCTCCGTCCCAACTGAACGCCGAAATCCAATCCGGTCATTCATCCAACGCTTGCCCGAAAAGGGAAACAAAGCTGAGAGAGTTACACAGTGTGGCAGGAATGCAATCCCGGAGACAATCACGCACCCCTTTCAAAGGAGCAAGAACCTTTCACAGGTGAACCTGTTCCAGCGGACAGGGCAGAAAACACCAGCGCAGAAGAAATCACATGGGAGACAAATGAATAGAAATGCTACATGGCCAGCGGAAAAGGGCGGCAGCACCAGTCACAGACACGGGAAACAAATGAATAGAAATGCTGCATGGCCAGCGGAAAAGGGCGGACACCAGCAGTGACAGACCTGGAACACACATGAATAGAACCGTTGCATCGCCAGCAGAAAAGGGCTGACACCAGCAGTGACAGACCTGGGAGACAAATGAATAGAAATGCTACATGGCCAACGGAAAAGGGCGGACACCAGCAGTAACGGACCTGGGAGGCAAATGAATAGAAATGCTTCATGGCCAATAGACAAGGACACACCAGCGGACGCAAGAATAGAAATGCCAGCGGAAAAGGGCGGGCACCACCAGTGGCAGGCCTGGGACACATGAATAGAAATGCTGCATGGCCAACGGACAAGGGCGGACACCAGCAGTGACAGACCTGGGAGATGAATAGACATGCTGCATGGCCAGCGGAAAAGGGCGGACACCACCAGTGACAGACCTGGGAAACAAACAAATAGAAATGTTGCATCGCCAGCGGAAAAGGGCGGACACCAGCAGTGACAGACCTCGGAGACAAATGAATAGAAATCCTACATGGCCAGCGGAAAAAGGCGCACACCACCAGTGACAGGCCTGGGAGACACATGAATAGAAATGCTGCATGGCCAACGGACAAGGACGGACACCAGCAGTGACAGACTTGGGAGATGAATAGACATGCTGCATGGCCAGCGGAAAAGGGCGGACACCACCAGTCAGACCTGGGAGACAAACGAATAGAAATGTCGCATCGCCAGCGGAAAAGGGCGGACACCAGCAGTGGCAGACCTGGGAGACAAATGAATAGAAATGCTACATGGCCAGCGGAAAAGGGCGGACACCAGCAGTGACAGATGTGGCAGACAAATGAATAGAAATGCTACATGGCCAGCAGAAAAGCCAGCGGAAAAGGGCGGACACCAACAGTGACCAACCTTGGAAACAAATGAATAGAAATGTTGCATCGCCAGCGGAAAAGGGCGGACACCGCAAGTGACAGACCTGGGAGACAAATGATGAATAGAACCAGCGGAAAAGGGCGGGCCGGCAGTGACAGACCTGGGAGACAAATGAAGAGAAATGTTGCATGGCCAACGGAAAAGGGCGGACACCACCATTGACAGACCTGGGAGACAAATGACTTAAGGCCAGGGGAGGAGGTCGAAAGCTAGCCGAATTGCACCGGATGTACTAGTTACATAGTCGGCAAAGCATGTAGTGATTACATGTTTTGGGAGAAAGGTTGCTACGTACACACTTTGCGCTGAAGAATGTAAATGTGACATCGCCGACTGGGAAGGGTACATTGGAACAACACGGGCGGACTCGTTGGCAGGCACGAAGGGGGGTAAATTTACCCCCCGCTTTTGTATGCCTTGAGTCGAAAAGAGGGGTAAGCATTTCTGACATCACACGGACTGTACATACACTGGGCGTCCGTAGTGTAGGAGAAGCACGGGTAAAGGGTATATGGAATATAGAGTGTCTTGAGGAAATAGCCGGCTTATGGTTATTGCAATTCTGGTGGTTGAATTTTTAAATTTACCCACCGCTTATGTATGCCTTGTGCCGGAAAGAGGGGTAAGCATTTCTGGATATTTCTGGCATCACAAGGACTGTGCATACACTAGGGCGTCCGCAGTGTAGGATAAGCACTGGTAAAAGGTATAAGGAGTAGAGTGTCTTGAGGAAATAGCCGGCTTATGGTTATGGCAACTCTGGGGGGTAAATTTACCCCCCGCTTATGCATGCATTAGGTTAGAAATAGGGGTAAAGAACTTGTAACAGTGAAGTACAAGTCCGGAGACAAGCCAGCCGGGAACCCGACCACAAGCACCCAGGGAGACAAATGAAAAGAAGTTGGAGACAATTGAAAGGAAGTGGGAGACAAGCCAGCCGAAAACCCCAC